ATCCGATCTAGCTGCATCAACTTCAAGTACTTCAGCGACTAAGGTCTACAATCCTGTCTACAAGGATCCTTTCTACGTAAATATATCCAACAACGACACTTTCAGCAACCAGTCAGCCACTCATCAACATGGCTGCGTTCGAGTGAAGTACCTAGATGATTTTGTCTTAGGTGGTCCATTCCAGTCTGAGGTCGAGACCATGCACTCTGAAGACCAACGTATCACCACCACCTATGGCCATCACTTCTCTAGCCATAAGACGAAGGCTTCCTGGGATTCTCTAACTGCACATGGACTCGGTCTAGTTTGGACTCATGACAACCGTCTCTCCAACAAGAATGTCAATGCCGCCATCTACCATAAGCTACTCGACAAGGCACCCTCCAAGCCCCTAACGGTCCGTCAAATCCTATCAGCAGCTCACAAATGTCACGATCCCTTGGGCTATGCCAGCCAAAAGAAAGCATCGTCGCCTGGAGTCACCCTTTCCTGCTGGTTCCCCCGTATGGCTTCGTAACCCAAGTCCTGCCAAGCTAGCGCCACGCTGGACTGGTCCGGTTATATGTGATGGGACCTCTGACCAAACCCAGCAATGTGTCAAGCTACGCTCCCTCAGCGGAGTGGGGTAACGAGGGCGCATTGATATTGCTTGAGAACCTTACAGTTCACAAGTGACCTTTAAGCCCGAAATGGCTGCTGTTACACGAACGAGAGGGATATTGGTCGTATTTGTAAGTGCCGTTAGTTACAGTATGAACGCTTAGTCCAGTGATGAAATACATGTTTAGTTGGCTCAGGTGAGCTCAGGAGTTTCCTCGCTGATCATGGGAGTTTACAAACGCATTAGGGTAGAAGTGTTCAGAAAAATAAGTGAATTTTCGGAAATTCGGGATTTTCACATTGTCACCGAAACACGTAGTTGTTCATGTGCATATTTTCCAACTCCGTATTGACCAATATAATAGTGGCACTATCCAATAGTGCTCGGAGTGAACTTTGAATCGAATCGAGTTGAACTAACGCACGTTGCTCAAGAATGGTCGTTGGAAGGCGTCCGGATGCGCATACTGAAATCCTCCAAGTGTCTATCGGATAATCACGTACTTGTTTGACACCATCAGGTAGGGACCCTCCCGTACGGGTATCGACGTGTCGTCAAAGTATCGAAGGATGCTGGTCGGCTCATCTTCCAAGAAGAAATCTAATACCGATTTCAACATTCGTGGAGCTGAGCTCGCTTCGAAGCCTTAACGACATAAGCGAATGTAAAGACTGTCACTCCGATGGTCAGGGCGAATGACTTGATACCAAGATTGCTCTGGACCCTTGAGCGAACTTGGATACGCTCGACAAATATCAACAATATCGCCATCAGCAATACGCCTCCAGCGACGAATTTCCCGCTGGCAGTTACCAGCATAGGGGTTACTGGCCGATACGCAATAGCGATTGACATACATAGGATAAGTCAATAGTGGGACGTACGGCTCTAGACTTATGACTTTGGACTACTGCTACCAGGGAAACACAACGAAACATACACAATTCTTCATTCTTCACGGAAGTAAGCCAACCTCACTCAATCCAGCTATCGAGCTCAGTGTGAAGAGCTTGATGTTGAGAGACTGAAAAAGGGTTGATAGAGTACTCAGGGCAGCAAACTGGTGAAGAGCTCAATACTGCATCCCCAGCTATGAGCTTGGTGTCAACGTGACCAGACGCTTTGTAATAGAGGAAAGAGGAAAAGAGGAATAGGGAAAGAGGACCAGAAATCAGCACTGACCAATGAGGGTAGATTGCCTGGTAGGCGCGGTACAATCAGAGCATTCACAACACGTTGACGAGAATATCGGTACTGTGGCCATAGAAATCGGTACTGGATCCCGGCAGTGAATGAGGTCCTACCCATATACAGTCAGTCTAGTTCTGTTATCACGCTCAACGTGATCCCAATGCTAAACTTGAGAACTACTACTAGTACTACTGGTAGAACCCAACCTTCCCCCTGGTAAGGCTGGAATTGCCATATCCTGGCTCTGCTCCGAGCAATATATTGATACTATCGCCAGGACGGTGACTGAAGATGATGCTCCGAGCCTAGATAGTCCAGTAGCGGAATCCAGAACGTGATCCCCGAAGGATTCAAGCATCGAATTCGCTGCGAGTCGAGCCTACTGTATATGTTTTGCAGCTCCTGTTGGAAGG